AATTTTTTAATTGAGATATCTTATTAAATAAGAATAAATATAAAAAGAACGTAAATTAGTGAAAAGTAACTTATAATTTTGACCAGAGGGAGTATATAGACACAAATCAGTAAATCACTCAGTTAAAGCAGAATATAATATTTTAACATAAATTCTTTTTCATTCAATATTATAATATTATATTAGCATTATTGTATGACTATTAAAGACTACATATTTCCTTAATCAATATATACTATGATGATAGATCATTAGTTTACAGAATTCAATGTGTCGTTATGAATGGATATTAACTTATTTAGAATTTAAATTTAAATTTATGAAATTTATCAACAATAAAGTTTCCTCAAATTTTGACAATATTTTAATGCCTAAAAATTTAAAATATGTTAAGTCTCTTATTTTGAAGGATAAATTGGTCCACTGGTTCCAAAAAAAAAATTATGCTTAGAAAATATGAACTAAATTTTTAAAAATTTAAAAGTGTAGCTAGTTTACATTGGTATACAAAGATTTTATAATTGAAAATTTAAAAATTCATAAGGGGTTTATTATTAATATACAACGGTATAAAATTAAATGGCCATAATACATAACATAAATATTGGGCTTTTTACTTGATTTGATCCTATAATATAGATTATATTTACAGGAGCCTCTCTCTTTTTTTTTAATCCAGACACGGGTTTTGGCGTTGCTTTTTCCATGCACTACTATGTGATAGGAGTAATTTTTGTCTCAGTCTGACGGACATCATAGGTCACAACAGGACAACAATGAAAGCTCTAAAAATTGAGAGAAAGCAAAAAAAAAAAAAAGACTAATTTTTCTTGAATAAATTAGCTCACTGGTCAAAAGAAGTTTTGTGCTCGGAAAGTATGAATCTAATTTTTAAAAATTTAGGAGTATAACTGCTCACATTGATAGATAAAAAGTTTATCATTGAAATTTTGAAACTTTACGAGGGGTTTATGATTTACATACAATATTATATCATTAACAAATATAACATAAATGTTGGACTATTTGCTTAATTTGGTCTTATAATATAAATTATATCTGCAAAAGCTCCAAAAAAAATGAAATGAATTTTCATAAATAGAAAAATGAAGTTAAACTCGTCATAGACGCAGTGCCATGGAGACTCGACTGTGTTTTCAGATTCACCGACCTACCTACCACAAAAAAACCACTCACCTATTATTCATGTCTTCGTCTTAGATCTTCATGTTTTTCGAACGACGAATCATCAAACAATCGTAGGTCAAATCAGTAAAAAGGAAACCAATTCGTTGACTGTTGACGGATTCAATTATAATGCAATGAATCTAACATAGACGTGCGCATTTAATAGTGCCCTCGTCACTAATGTAATTGCCAAGTCGTAATGCCGAATTTTTTTCTTTTTGATAGAATGTAATGCAACAATTGCTTCCGTATGATTTTGCTATAGGCTTTTATTTTTCAAAAAATTTCTAACTTGACATTTTCATTTTTTTTTAATTTCATTGTCCTGTATCTTGAGAATCTAGGGGATATTACCACTGCTCGCCCACATTCCGCTTTTTATATAAATGAAAAAAAAAAATCCGAGTACGTCAATACATTTGGGCAAGGACCACTAAACATGGAGAGCCACCACTAATCCTCCATTTTTGTACATCAAGCCCCAAAGAAAAACCACAATCCGCTCGATCGGCCATTTTTTTCGTAGATTAATTTGTGATTTAAAAAAAAATATCACTTTAGGTTTAGGTATAGTGGAAAGTTAGGTATAAAAATAGAAAAAGAATGAGGTTGGTGATTTAGGGTAGCTTTCCACTGATTGAGGCTTGAAGCTTGATTCTACTCAAACTTCGATTAATCAGTGAAAGAATTAGATTTCTGATGGTTTATTTTACTACAATAAAGGGTAACAAATGAGGCCAGGATGAAAAATAATCCTCTTTTTTCTTACTAAATAAATAATACTAAATATACTCCCTTCCAATCCTAGATGTAAGATCTTAATCTCTTTTCTCTCTTTCGTTTATAATGTACACATATTAATGTAAATGATTCAAGGATGAGTATTTTAGAAAAATTACTACACATTTTTACAATTAACCAACTAACTTATTTTTCATTAATCTAATATGAATCAGTTAACTGGTTCCTATGTTTAGTATGGGAGGAAACTTATTCAATGAATCAGTTAGTCATTGTGGAGTAATTATAACAATAGTATAACGGATATTGTGAGGGGGGGGAGCACCCAGCCATGTACCCACCTTTTCAAAATATTTTTATTGAAGATTATTAGCACATTTTAAGAAAATTATTAAATAGCCTTGCTATGATATTGGACTGATATATCTATATCCTTATGAATTTTAAATTTTTATTATTTGATTATTTCATTTTACTTGTGATTATTTTTATTTGTGAAAGGAAAATTGATGTTAGAAAGTGGCTCATTTTGAAATAGAGTATTAATTTGCTTTCTCAAAATTACGTCTTCTGCCGTATTCTGTTATTTCAAATAAACTTAAAGCTAAGGATGAATCATAACCCTAGCTTGTATTCATGAAGAGTGGTCCACTATGGCCAGTAATGACAATGAGACCATATTACTATATTTGTGATTTATGTCACTTTGTATATATGAAGAAGTGAATTAGGATGCGGATATATAGCTAGTTAAAATTAACTTCCTCTCTAATTAAAGTTTTTCAAAATAAATCAGCAGATTGAACTCATAGAAGTACTCCGTTGACAATTGAATAACCTAAACATAGTCAAATTATGATCAAACTAATCATAATTAAATTTGCATTCTTTTTACCAACAGGGTTGGGTTTAATTAGCTGAAAAGACTAGTAAATTAGATCTTTCATGATACATAGCATTAACTTGCTCAAACTTGAGTGGACATTTCCCTTCTAAATGCATTGAAGAATCACAAAATGAGCAAGAAGAAGGTACTAGAGCTTGAGAAGTACCCACATTGTTGACTTGAAACAATTGAGGAACCAACATTCTTCCAATCTCAGCGGCCATTAACTCAATGTGAGATTCATCAATAACATGGGAAGACACCTCATGCACACCTCTTCTCTCTCTTGATATAAATTGTTGACCATTTGAAGCCATCTTCTCAATTAACTCCTAAATTATTTGTTGAGTAAGATCAATCAAACATCCCCCACTAGCCACACGTATGTTCACTTTGTCTCTTGGATTAAGACCTTCATAGAAATATTGGACAAGATGCTCACTTGCTATTTGATAACCAAGACACCTGGCAAGCAACCTTTGGTGCCTAAACCAATAAACATATAGTGTCTCATCTTCCCAATGTTGGATGCCATATATTTGCTTGATTAGCATAGCAATCTTAGAACTTAGAAAGTATTTCTCTAAAAATAACTTCCTTAGCTTTGCCCAAGTAGAAACCCTAACATATGGTGGATGGTTGTGATACCATTCTTTTTCCATTCCATCCAAGAAAACTTCAAATACTTTGGCCTGTACATCATCCTTCACAATGTGATGAGCCAATATTTGAATTCTCACTAGGAGAGGTGCCCACATTTAGCACTTGACTGTATCTTGAATATGATTATCTCCAATATAAGGATACGTATAAGAAATTAAAAAAAGGGTAAAGGTGTAAATTTGACCATCAACTATTTTTCGAGAAGTGTCTGGTAACCTATACGATGAGATGGTGCAAAATAAATTTTAAATTTTCCAAAACAAAACATCAAGCACCTCCTATTAGCTGTCATTGAGTGGATGTTAATTGACTATATTTTGACCTAATCTTTATCTACACAGCTATACACGTGGCAACTCTAATAAATCACATGACTTAGTTCCAAATGAGAAGACCATCCATCTCTACCTCGACAAACCATTGCAACCTTCCTCCCACTATGTCACCACCATATTCCACCATGTTCGAGTAGCTAGTTCACTCCCCGTAACCTAGTCAACTTAGCATCAGTACAAACCTAAGCTACCTAGTCCTGTCTTACACGTATCACCAAAATCCAATGCCATAATTTTGGATCCACCTACTAGAACCCTTGCTGTCTAAATCAGCACTCCTCTTGCTCTGCCACCATCAATGCCAATAAATATTCCCATAGCAAAGCAATGCATTGTTGTATACTACTAATATGGGAGTCCTGTAAAATAGCTAAATCATAGCAAAAATGCACTCTAAAATACTATCAAATATGGTTGAGATTATATTAATGACCAATTCAACAATCAACGACCTCAAGGAGTCACAGCTCTAAAACAAAATAAGAATAATTACTAATAATTCTATAGAAAATAAATAGAAATGAGGGGAGGGGAATATTTCCTTGAGAGGAAAGGAAATCCCACAGAGAGGAGAAATCAGAAACAACGAACCAAAAATTCCACACCCTCTCCAATGACATCATAGTGATTTATTTTCAATCAATCCCTTAATCGTGAAAGAATTTGCCTCACCTGAATGTTGCACCTAACAGCTTGCTATAGGAATTCACAACTACACAAGCTAGAGCCTGAAAAGTGTTAAATGAAAGGAGTGAGTCTAGCCACTCAGTAACTAAGGTTAAACCTACCCTATGCAGTTTTATATCAATTACAAACCAAGTATGTAACAACCTCAAATTTACAACCCGATTTTTCGCAAATTATTAAAACCATTATCATGGTAGAAAATTTTCTTACCATGATACATCCAAAACAATATACCACAGGTCTTAAAATATCTCAAAAAAGCAATTAGAACCATGAGGGACGGTTAGGATCCTCATGGCAGGATATTTAAATTAGGTCATGAATCAAGAGAGACAAACATAATCCTCTTGGTCAAATAAATACTTTTAATAAAAAGGATTAGAGTTTACATGCTTCACAAAGAAGATATGTCCTAAGTTGGCACAAGATACATTGTATAATTCAAAATAAGAGGTAACGTAAAAGATGGTGTTTCATACACCATAGTTACACCTCTGGTGCTTTCTCGGCCGGACTCGCTCCTGTAAAAATATTAACCACGGGGAATGAGACTTAAAAGTCCCAGTAACCAAAAATTAATATGTAATGATGCATGCGAATGTAACTAATCATGCGATTGCTAAGTGAGCACACAAAACATTTAACCGAACAATATTTTCAAACAAACCGAACAAGTATTTAATTTGCATGACTGCACCTTATATCCTCCTTTCACCATGCTCGGACGCCAAATCACTCGGCCAAAGGTGAGTTGGACCAAGCGACACGCCACTCATTGGGTCCAATGAGGGCTTACCACGTGGTAATAATTAACCGAACAGAAATTCCCATTAACACCATACATTAAAATACCCTGACAAGTCATGCATCATTCAAATATCCAAACAGAAATATATCCGAATAATAATATCTCATCATGATAAACAAAAATAAATTTTTAACCCACTTGGCAATGATTTCACAGAAGTATATAACAGTATTTATTTTCAATAATTCATAATTTTTCCAAACAACAAAACAACACATAACCATTCACAAACACACCCATCACAACACATTAATAATGGTTACCTTGTGTCTTGAATAACAAGTTCCCCTTCACAACTCTTTTTTCACCACTATCTTTGTCAATATAATCTACATAATTATTTCACAATACTATATATTAATTTTACATTAAAATAAATAACTCTAATTTAAATAGTTAGAAAGTCTTAGATCTATAATCCATATTAACACTAATTTAAGATTTATGCCTCATTTAACTTCCCAAATTCTTTTCTAAAATTCTCGTACCCTAATAAACTATTTTTTTTATCCTCAAATCACTTCTAGTATCACAATTTCATCCTTCTATATTCTAAAAATTCGTCCAAAAATAAATTAAATTTTAAAATTATCCTGAAGCCTCAAATCACCTTTCTATAACCTCAAAAATACCTATACATACTTAAATAAATATTTAATAATTATAGATTTATCCCTACATCTCAGATTCCACATAAATTCAACCATATAGATCTAGATTTTAACTCAAAAATTCTTAAACATAAGTTTCAACCTCAAGAAAATATTCTATAATATTTATTATATCCCTAAGAGTTTTAACCTATATTTTTAATCCATCATATCATCAGATTAACTATCCTATAGAAAAATCCTAATCAAAATATTTACTCTATCCTACAAAATAATCATATCACTAGAAAGCTAATATTATTTAGAAAATAACTATAAAATTAATTTTGTAATTAAATAAATTTTTAAATGCTAATCTAAATAGGAAAGTTAGAACATACCTGAAGAAAAAGAAAATAATCCTCCCTTGCGAGAAAACGCTGAGCAACGTGAGAGGAAGAGAGAAAAATAATATAAAAATGGGATTGTGAGTCCCAAAATTATATTAAAAAAAAATATAGGTTTGAATTTAATTATTCAAACCTTTGGGCCAAAAGTTGCAATTTTCTCTAAATTGCATCTTAGCATCTCATGCTTCCTAATGCACACACCCCCTCCTTTTTATACATGAAGGCACCTCTTCTCTTTCCTCATCTAACTAATGTGAGACTTAGAAACAACAACCTTCCACCCCCCCTTTTTTTGTTCCTTCTACCTTCTCTTTTTTTTTAACACACACATAAAAAAAATTATTTATGTATTATATCTTAACTAAATATTGCTTATGTGGTTTTAAATTTAAATTTTTAAATTCATAATTAAATACCTAACCATAATATCATTTCTAAATAACCTCAAATAATATAAATTCCTATTATTATCATTTTTTTCCTCAGAACCTAAATTCCACAATTTCTTTATTATATAAAAATCAGGATGTTACAAAGTACATGCATAAGGAACCAAGAATGTAAAACATGCTCACACATATCATAACTTGTCATTTATCATTTAATAAATTCTTTATCTCACATATACTAGGTGCATTGTCACCATGTTCTCAAATATGTGACCATGTCCCATTATTCACATGACTTGCCATAACTTAACACGTGTGAAACATCATATATTTACTTAGACAATGATCAACTAGCCTTATATCCTCTTTATTTCCTCAGAATGAAATTATGGGCTATAACACTGAATATGGCTTCATCCGTGAGACTGAACTACTAAAGCTCACCAATCATAAGGTGTGACCTGGCCAAAGATCATATGACTCACCTCGGACTATGGTTTCCCCCATTCTCAAATTTCTAGGGTGTCTCATACCCTAGACTATTCTCCTCGTTGAATTAGTGGAGATAGCTAGGTTACAATCTCTCGACAAACTATAGGATAGTCCCTCGACAAATTGTGAGACAAGGCTATACCCCCATGCATCGGAGGGCAGCCTAAATACCATATAGATTTTTTTCTATTCCCAATCCCTAGGAAAACTCTAACTATTGATCATGCCATAGACAATATTCATTCTTTTCACTTTTTTTCTTTGCTCATTATGAGAATCAATACATTGGGCTCACGACGCTACCCAAGCGTACATCAATTTTTATCTTTCACTTATCTCACATATACCTTTCTAAATACATATGCATATTTATAGTTTAAAAACATCTTCATTTGGCATTTACATTTCAAACCACAATAACATTATGCACAATAAATTTTTCATACACTCATTGAAATTAACATATGCTTTTTTACATTGAAAATCAACCCATGCATACAGCATTCGCATTTAGAAGTCAATTTATAATTAATTGACATACAACCACCTAAAGTCAGGTTTTCCTCCAATCACCTCAAACCTTTGAGAGGTTACAGGTTTACCCTTAATTAGTAGCTTCCAAGCTTGAATTCCCAACCAAATAGGTGACAAAGAGTCAAAAATAACTACAATCAACTAAGTTAAATTTCATTAACATTATCAACTCAAGCATTAAACCATCAATCTTCTACTTTTAAATTGCTTAATGTTCACTCTACATGAGTTGGAGTCTATCTATTAGGTTCATTATCTATTTATAACATCATATAACTTTATTGAACAGTCGCATTGCCATTAATACATCAACAACCACAATAATAACAAATTTAATGTCCATTTTTGGACATTAATGGAGCCTATTATCTAATAACCATCAAAATTATTTATACTAGGTTTAAATACTCTAAACAACTCTCATTGATCCATTTGAGTTAATGGGTTTGGACCTACACCCTATATGGACTGAAATCACCATCCTCATCTAAATCTTAACTCAAATCCTTGAGAAAATAGAAGAGGAAAGGAGAAAAAGGGTTTAGGCATCTTACCTTGGGTGTTTGTAGCCTCCAAAATACTCCCAATGTCGTTCACATGCAAACCCTAACAGAGCTTGGTGCGTCTCTTCCATCCTCTCTTTTCTTGCTCTCTATTTTTCACATCAGTTCGCATATTAATTTTGTAGATTTCGCACCGTATGCTATAGTGCCTATCCCCACGCGCCGTGGCATGTGTTACAGAGAAGAAAATTCTCGCCTGATGGCCTCGTGCACTGTGGCATATGGCATAGAGGTTGTTTAGCTTGCTTTTCTCTATTTTTGGGTCCTTAAGTGACTCAATTTTACTTTGGATCTAAATTATACATGAAATTTCAACTAAAAAAACTTATTATTTTCCTCTGACTATACACTACATGAACTTACTTGATTATCCTTTTTAATTTTAGTAATTCAGGGAATTAAAACTGGGATGTTACAAAAGACACTCTAGGAGCTTGGTTTTGATAGGGTTTAGGCATGGGAAGAGTTAGAATTAAGAGATTGAAGTTTTGAAGACATTTAGAGCTCTTTTGTTTTGTTTCTATATTCCTCTTCCCTCTCGTCTCTTATATTCTGATATGGGTCTAAACATTTTGTGTATTTGTCGCTTATGGATGATTTTAAGTAGCTAAACACTTTGCTTTAGGATTTTTTAGAACTATTATATGGATTAACACTAATTTTCTTCTCTTTCTTTTTGTGATTAATGATGTGTGTGTGTCTGTGTTTATTTTACTCTTCTCTTAATGCTTCTAAGTGATTGGCCACTATTTAGATGTTGGGTTCACTTGATTGATGCTTGAAAAGGTTAAGTTGAGTGTAGAACTTGGGTAAAATAGTGCAAGAACTTGAAGTTTTCATGTTCAATGGATGGTTTTGTTAGTAAGATAGAAATATACTGACTAATCTTGCATAACCACATTAGAGTTGGTATTAAAATTGGGTTTTGTTGATTGTAACAAGAGATTGGGCAATTAATTTAACTAAACACTTATTTTTATTTGAAAAAGTTTGTTCAAGTATTTTTAAAACCCTAGGTTAGTGCTTATTTTCATTAAAAAAATTTATGAGAAGAGGCAATTTTAATTTTATGAAACGTAAACAGGATAAATAAGCCTAAGTCTCATTTTAATCATGAAGTCTAGAAATAATTTGTTTTTCTTTGTTTTCTAGTTTTAATATGATTTTCAAAATCAATTTTGTCCAAGCAATTGTAATTTGCTCAACTTGATTGAAATTGCAAAGTATTTTGCTTGACTATGTTTTTAATACAAATCTCCATGAGAATGATATTCTACTCACTTTATATTACTTACTACGACCCGTACACTAGTAGAGCGCAACATATATCATCCAAAATAAATAGATATTAAAATGAAAAGCAAAAAATGGATAATGAAACTTTTAGTCCCTCAAGTTTGCCTCAATTATTAATTTAGTCTCAAATTTAATTTTTATCGATATGATCCGTTACATTTTCTTAAATTGTCATGCTAGTATATATGAAATTTTAAAACAGAAATTTACTCTCATGCTAATCCATTGCATAAAAGTATATATTTTGATAATTTATTTTACATGCATATGTAGCTAAATGAGAATAAATTAGTCCTCAAATCAGTCTAATTTTTACTAATCTAGTCCCTTATATTGTGATTGTTCTTTTCTTTTTTTAAAATTTTTGAGTTTGATATTTTACATTTCTTTAGTTAATCTATATGGGTGTCACCAATATTTAGTTATCTAGATTAGTAGATTTTATCAATGTTACCTCTTATTTAAATAATATGGACCAAATCGATCAATAATTGAATCAACTTTCAAGACCAGATTGATAATTTGGTAACCAAATTCATAATTGAGACAAACTTGAGGGAATAAAAGATTTGTTATCCTAAAATAAATTAGGATTCATTTGTGGTTTCAACCAACGAAAATACATATTTTGAAAAATTGTTGCCCCAAACGGATCACAATTTTAAATGAAATTTTAAGATTTTATTGGGGTCTTAAAATGACATTATCATTTTTTCTTTGATTCTGAAGCATCATTTCCCCCATTTTTTTCCTACCTACATTTAATATAGTGAGTTTATGAAAGAAATGAAAATAGGCTTCACACTTAATTTCTAGTGATGCCACAAAGATTGTATAGCTACATCCCTGCAAGTACATATCGGCCTGGTAACAAGTAATACAAAATGAGCATGACAACATTCATATGAAGATTTGGTTCTAAAGTTTGGTCAAGAATTAATTTCACACTTTTATTTAACTTGAGCAAAGCAATTAATCAACTATAGTAAAAGAAAACTTCAAATAAAAATAATAAAATCATATATTTTGGTGGGGCTCTTGGAGT